AGGGTACAGAGGAAGGAAAGTGAAGGGTACAGAAGAAGAACAGTAAAGGGTACAGAAGAAGAACAGTAAAGCGTACAGAGGAAGAACAGTAAAGGGTACAGAAGAAGAACAGTAAAGGGTACAGAGGAAGGACAGTAAAGGGTACAGAGGAAGAAAAGTGAAGGGTACAGAAGAAGAACAGTAAAGGGTATAGAGGAAGCACAGTAAAGCGTACAGAGGAAGGACAGTAAAGGGTACAGAGGAAGAACAGTAAAGGGTACAGAGGAAGAACAGTAAAGGGTACAGAGGAAGAACAGTAAAGGGTACAGAGGAAGGAAAGTGAAGGGTACAGAGGAAGAACAGTAAAGGGTACAGAAGAGAGACAGTGAAGGGTACAGAGGAAGCACAGTAAAGGGTACAGAAGAGAGACAGTGAAGGGTACAGAGGAAGCACAGTAAAGGGTACAGAAGAAGAACAGTGAAGGGTACAGAGGAGAGACAGTGAAAGGTACAGAGGAAGCACAGTAAAGAGTACAGAGGAGGACCATTAAAGGATACAGAGGAGGACCAAGAGGACCTGCAGTGGGATGGATATGAAACCGGATATATTGTGTTTTTCTCTGGCAAATCTAATTCCTCGTCATTATTATTTAATAAAAGTCAATTTGTTGTTTTAAAGAACAGGAAATGCTCCGGGTTTCCTGATAAGAACAGGAAAAACCGCTTCATGGAGACTCCGTGAAGCCGCTCTGACCCAAGACGGGAAATTATACTTTACTCCTACAGGCTGGAAGTACAAGTATTTAAATTTACCACTTGTACTTCTCAGAGTAGATTTACATTCAAACATACTTACTTCTACTACTACTAACTACTACTACTACTACTACTACTATTACTTTTACTACTTTTACTTCTACTCGAGATTCACTGTGTACTACTACTACTACTACTCCTACTACTGACTACTTCACTGTTACTACTACTGTACTACTACTACTACTACTACTACTACTACTACTACTACTACTACTACTACTACTACTACTTGAGATTCTGTGTACTACTACTTCTACTTCTGCTACTTCTGCTACTCGAGATTCACTGTGTACTACTATTACTACTATAATTACTACTACTTCTAATTCTATGACTGCTACTACTACTTCTACTACTACTTCTGATTCACTGTGTACTACTACTACTACTTCTACTACTACTATATTTGATGGACTCTGACCTCTGACCTCTCTGAGTAAAGGTTTTATCTCTGTTTTTTGTTCTGTTCTTGTTCTGAAACAGGAAATTCAGGAAAAGTTGTTTTAGTTTTAGACCCAAGTTTCTCTAAATACTGTACTTCTTTCTTGGTACTTTTTATCTGAATACTATTTTTGACTCATCTATCAGCCCATCTTGTTTTGTTTATTTTTAGTTTAGTTTTAACTTCTTTAATCGTGTCGTCTATAAGTAGAGAAAACAAAAGTTCAAGAAAAAAATCATCAGAAATTTGAATTCGCACTATGATTCGTAAACAATGCTTTTATAGGAGAATGATTTTATAGAATGAGGTCACAAGATTCACTCTGTACTACTACTAATACTACTACCATTGCTACTACCATTACTACTACTACTTCTTGAGATTCACTGTGTACTACTACATCTATTACTATTACTACTCCTACTTGAGATTCACTGTGTATTACTACTACTACTACTATGACTACTACTACTACTACTACTACTACTACTTCTTGAGATTCACTGTGTACTACTACTACTTTTACTTCTACTCCTACTACTACTACTTCTACTTCTGATTCAATGTGTAATACTACTAACTACTACTGCTACTACTACTACTTCTACTTCTGATTCAATGTGTAATACTACTACTACTATTACTACTCCTACTTGAGATTTACTGTGTATTTACTACTACTACTACTACTATGACTACTACTACTACTACTACTACTACTACTACTACTTCTTGAGATTCACTGTGACTACTATTACTACTACTACTACTATGACTACTACTACTACTACTACTACTACTACTACTACTACTACTACTACTTGAGATTCACTGTGTACTACTACTACTTTTACTTCTACTCCTACTACTACTGCTATTACTACTACTTCTACTTCTGATTCAATGTGTAATACTACTAACTACTATTACTACTCCTACTTGAGATTCACTGTGTATTACTACTACTACTACTACTACTATGACTACTACTACTACTACTTACTACTTCTACTTACTTGCTACTGTACTACTACTACTACTACTGTGACTACTACTACTACTACTATGACTACTACTACTACTACTACTTCTACTCCTACTTGAGATTCACTGTGTACTACTACTACTACTACTACTACTACTACTACTACTACTACTACTACTTCTTGAGATTCACTGTGTACTACTACTACTTTTACTTCTACTCCTACTACTACTACTTCTACTTCTGATTCAATGTGTAATACTACTAACTACTACTGCTACTACTACTACTTCTACTTCTGATTCAATGTGTAATACTACTACTACTATTACTACTCCTACTTGAGATTTACTGTGTATTACTACTACTACTACTATGACTACTACTACTATTACTACTCCTACTTGAGATTCACTGTGTATTACTACTACTACTACTATGCTACTACTACTACTACTACTACTACTACTACTACTACTACTTGAGATTCACTGTGTACTACTACTACTTTTACTTCTACTCCTACTACTACTACTATTACTACTACTTCTACTTCTGATTCAATGTGTAATACTACTACTACTATTACTACTCCTACTTGAGATTCACTGTGTATTACTACTACTACTACTACTATGACTACTACTACTATTACTACTCCTACTTGAGATTCACTGTGTATTACTACTACTACTACTACTACTGTATCAGCTCATCTAATTTTGTTTATTTTTTTGTTTAATTTAGTTTTAACTTCTTTCATCGCGTCTATAAGTGCAGAATGTAAAATTTAAAATCACACTATGACTCGTAAACTTTGCTTCTATAATGTTTTTCTCCGTACTAAAGCGGCTCTATGGGTCTCTGCACGGAGTTGCACAATCGTCCTGCAGCGGCGCGTGGTGGTGGTGGTGGAGGGCATTACGTAAGAGCAGGAGGAGGCCTGGGTCACGTGACTCACCGAACGCCGCTGTCTGGGCTCCCTTTGACACACTTTTATTTCCACGATCATAACCGAGCCCACGGCGACATCTGGTGGTCGACGGGGAGAGAACACGCAACGGTCTTCATGCGTTTTCTTTTCTGCTGTCGTCCCATAAAAATCCTTATGACCTAACAGGTAATACTCCCTACAACTGAACAACAACTCAGTCTTATGTAACAGATAATACTCCCTACGACTGTACAACTCACCCTTATGTGACAGATAATACTCCCTACAACTGTACACCTCACCCTTATGTGACAGATAATACTCCCTACAACTGTACAACAACTCAGTCTTATGTAACAGATAATACTCCCTACAACTGTACAACAACTTATGTACAGATAATACTCCCTACACTGTACAACTCACCTTATGTAACAGATAATATACTCCCTCCAACTGTACAACAACTCACCCTTATGTAACAGATAATACTCCCTACAACTGTACAACTCACCCTTATGTAACAGATAATACTCCCTACAACTGTACAACTTATGTACAGATAATACTCCCTACAACTGTACAACTCACCCTTATGTAACAGATAATACTCCCTACAACTGTACAACTCACCCTTATGTGACAGATAATACTCCCTACAACTGTACAACAACTCATCCTTATGTAACAGATAATACTCCCTACAACTGTACAACAACTCACCCTTATGTAACAGATAATACTCCCTACAACTGTACAACTCACCCTTATGTAACAGATAATACTCCCTACAACTGTACAACAACTCATCCTTATGTAACAGATAATACTCCCTACAACTGTACAACAACTCAGTCTTATGTAACAGATAATATAATACTCCCTACAACTGTACAACAACTCATCCTTATGTAACAGATAATACTCCCTACAACTGTACAACAACTCAGTCTTATGTCACAAATACAATACTCCCTACAACTGTACAACTACTCGCCCGTATGTAACAGATAATACTCCCTACAACTGTACAACTCGCCCTTATGTAACAAATAATATAATACTCCCTACGACTGTACAACTCGCCCGTATGTCACAGATAAAAGAATACTCCCTACAACTGTACAACAACTCAGTCGTATGTAACAGATAATACTCCCTACAACTGTACAACAACTCAGTCGTATGTAACAGATAATACTCCCTACAACTGTACAACTCAGCCTTTTGTAAAAGCTTGAGAAAATTGATTACTTCATTAATAACACATTTTTATTGAATAAATCAATGGAACTATTGTTGTCAAAAGTAAATTTGAAAATCACTAATCGATACTAAAACTAGTATCGAAACTAAATCCTATTTTTCCACAGGTATCGATACTAAAATCGATACTAAAAAAAATAAAATAAAAATTATAGTCCTATTGACAGGGCAGAATGTCTTTAGAACAGGCATGTCCAAACTACGGCCTGTGGACCAAATGTGGCCCTCAGACAAATGTTTCTTGGCCTCAGGCTTCCAGGTGAATTGACCCAAATTATCTACATCAATTAAAAATGAACTTTTTACAGCAAGATATTTCAAAATCTATCTTGATAAAGTTAATATTTAATATTTAGTTTGTGGTTTTAAGGATTGTAGTGTGAGTAAAGACTGAGGCTCATTCTAACGTGTTAAACATGCACATATTTCAATGATTCCGTGTATTCAGCATCAGTCCCTCTGCTTCATCTGTGTTTAGACATGTAATGACCTGGAGTTGAATCAGAACAAGAATAAGAGCACATGGAGATCACACAGATGTCAGGACACATGGGAATAGAAAAGAAAATACTATGATTTAATGTGGAAAATCACATTTTATTGTCTAAAGAAGTGAGTGGTTTTAATTAATAATAATAATGGATCAGTTTTATACAGCGCTTTTTGGACATTCAAAGACGTTTTACAGTAACATTATTTATTCACTCACACTCACGCACACACACACACTTTCTTCATGAAGTGTCTTGCCTAAGGACACAACGACAGCTTTCTTAATGACTGTCGCCCCCCTGTGGCTCCTGATTTTCCCAGTGGTCTCAATTCAAATCCTAACCAGGCCCGGCTCTGCTTAGCTTCTGACGAGATCAGGATTTGAGTGTGTATTTTTTAGTAGTTTGATATTTTAGCACCGTGACGACACATGGAACAGCTCAGGACATGATACAAATACAGAAAAAGACTAATTACAGTAAATTTTGATTGGATTTTCTGTTTCTTGATTTTCATTTTAGCTATTGAAAACATGACCGAATCACAGCATATAAAAATAAATAATTACTCAAACATGATTTAAGATTGCCCGATTCAGAGAGCCCTGGTGTCTTTTGTAAAACTTGTAGAAGTAGAAGTCCAGATAGTCTCAGACACAGTTTTGTTTAAGGGTCCGTTTGGGCCAGGGCGCTCCTCTGGTCCTCGGGCAGGTCGTAGTAAACTCTGTGAGGCTCCAGCTGTTTCCTGAACTGAACCAGATCCTCCGTTTTAAAGGAGTCGCTCTGCCCCGTCCACACGGTCAGACTGAACCTGCAACAACACGGGACACTGTCACACTCTTTTTATTCTGATGAAAAAGAGAAACTATTACAGGAACAGGAGCGGTGCATGTGTGTGAAGTGACTTGCCCAAGGACATAATTCACATGTAAAGCCAGATATTTTAATTGCAGGGTTAGATCTAGTTTAGTCCTGATTTAGTCCTGGTTTAGTCCTGGTTTAGGTCTCATTTAGTCTTCATTTAGTCCTGGTTTAGTCTCAGTTTAGACTTCGTTTAGTTTAGTTTTTTAGTCCTGGTTTAGATCTAGTTTAGTCCTGATTTAGTCCTGGTTTAGTCTTGGTTTAGTCCTGGTTTAGTCCTGGTTTGATCCTGGTTTAGTCCTGGTTTAGTCTTGGTTTAGTCCTGGTTTAGTCTGGTTTAGTCTTGGTTTAGTCCTGGTTTAGTCCTGGTTTGATCCTGGTTTAGCCCTGATTTAGTAATGGTTTAGTCTTGGTTTAGTCCTGGTTTAGTCTTGGTTTAGTCCTGGTTTAGTCAGTCGGTTTAGTCCTGGTTTAGTCTCTGGTTTAGTTGGTTTAGTCCTGGTTTAGTCCTGGTTTAGATCCTGGTTTAGTTTAGTCCTGGTTTAGTCCTGGTTTAGTCTTGGTTTAGTCCTGGTTTAGTCTCGGTTTAGTCCTGGTTTAGTCTTGGTTTAGTCCTGGTTTAGTTTAGTCTGGTTTAGTCCTGGTTTAGTCTCTGGTTTAGTTTAGTCCTGGTTTTAGTTTAGTCCTGGTTTGATCCTGGTTTAGTCCTGATTTAGTCCTGGTTTAGTCTTGGTTTAATCCTGGTTTAGTCCTGGTTTAGTCCTGTTTAGTCCTGGTTTAGTCCTGGTTTAGTCCTGGTTTAGTCCTGGTTTAGTCCTGGTTTAGTCCTGGTTTGATCCTGGTTTAGTCCTGATTTAGTCCTGGTTTAGTCTTGGTTTAGTCCTGGTTTAGTCCTGGTTTGATCCTGGTTTAATCCTGATTTAGTCCTGGTTTAGTCTTGATTTAGTCCTGGTTTAGTCTTGGTTTAGTCTGGTTTAGTCCTGGTTTAGTCCTGGTTTTTGATCCTGGTTTAAGTCCTGATTTAGTCCTGGTTTAGTCCTGATTTAGTCCTGGTTTAGTCTTGGTTTAGTCTTGGTTTAGTCCTGGTTTAGTCCTGGTTTAGACTTTGTTTAGTTTTGGTTTAGATCTAGTTTAGTCCTGATTTAGTCCTAGTCACTCAGCCACCGGTGGCATGGTGGCTGAGTGTTTAGCACTCATGCCTCACAGTAAGAAGGTTCTGGGTTGGATCCCCGGGTCGCCTGGACCTTCCTGTGTGGAGTTTGCATGTTTCTCTTCGTGTCTGGAGTCAGTTAAATACAGTCAATTCAATCATTGTGTCCTTAGGCAAGACACTTCACCCACACTGCCTAGTGTGAGTGATGGTGGTGTTCGGAGGGACTGATGGTGCCGATTGGTAAGGCAGCCGTGCTTCTGTTAGTCTGCCCCAGGGCAGCTGTGGCTACAGTAGTAGTTTACCATCACCAGGTCACTGTTTTCTCATTTTATTGTTTTTGTTCTTAATTGAAATTCAAAAGAACGAATGGTGCACAGACTCATTAAACGAACTCTCCACAGCTCTTCTGTTTTTTCCACCCAGACATTCGGCTCACGTAAAGACCACTACAGACTCAGGCTTTGTCGCCCTCTTCAGGACACATGACGCTAGTACAATAGGCTGCATCATTTGTTCCAATGTCAGAAATTCAACTTGTACCCAATTTTAAAATGTGACAATACGAATTAAAAGAAAATCTGTGGAATATTTGCTCAACTGAATAAAATCTCTTTAAGTTCCATCCTAACAGTGTCCATAAAGCTCTGGCAGAAAAAGTTGTTTTTCTCAAATAAAAAAAAACAACATTTTGTAAAGTTAAGCATTATATAATATATAATATATATATATATATATATATATATATATATATATATATATATATATATATATATAATTATTAATTATTATTATTATTATTTTTTTTTTGTAAAAATAATTGCTTATTCAAGGTCCTTGAAGTCCCAAAGAAATGACACTTTTGCCATATCTCAGAGACAGACATAAAACTGATACCAAATCATCCACAATGTCTATATTTATATTCAACTTCCATTGATACTATTGGACTAAATTAATTATTTTTGATGTTATTAAGGAAAAACAGATTTTTCAGCTCAGATTTAAGGCTTCTGCAGGCACTAAACGTCAGAGTCTTGTTGGACCCAGTAAACATCAATAGAATTTCATGACATTTCTCATGGAATTTACTTTGGCAAGTGTAAAAAATTTATACTAGGTACAGATTAATTTTCAAAAATGTTTCAAAAACTTGGGCAAATGATGCTCCCTAACGCACACTTATAGATAATACAGGAAAATAGATACCTTATAAGCCTGTTTGCAGTGTATTTGTTATTTAATCTGAATAAATATTGAATCATTAAAAAAACAAAACAAAAAAAAACATACAGGTGGTTTCATAGCTCGAGCTCAGGCTGGAGTTGTACCTGTGGGACTGCTGCAGGAGCCAGAGCAGCTGCGGCGCAGACTGACCCATCAGAGCCGCTCGAACTGGGAACGTCACCGGGTTCTTCAGACGTCCGCAGATCTGCTCCATCTCACGCACCATCTCCCAACTGTAGCCTGGAGGTCAGACACAGGAGGGAAAATTCAGTCAGCTTTCTTTATTTTTCTCCAAATCAAATCGTCTCACACACTGAGCTTATGTTGACAATTGTACAACAATTTACCGTATTTTCAATTATTTTTTGAATTATCAGTTGTGGCGTGTAGGGAGGGTGTGTCTGGGACCAACGGATTGTCGGCGTGTTCACAGTGACTCAGTTGTTCAGTCGTGTCTAGAAGCGGCACGTTGCACTCGTCGCTTTTTCGGTTCGTTCCTCGGTTCCGTTCCTCGTTGGCGTGGAGTGATGAGTGTGTCTGTGGGTGTGTTTCTCTGTGCGGTCGCTGTCTGCTCCGTGTGTGTTTGCGTGTTCTGCGGGTGGTGCAGGTTTGTAGTTTACTGAAGTCGTGCTGGGACACCCGAGTGGATTCGTGTATAAGACGCTCTGGATTGTGGCGTGCGGCCGTTTCTTGATGCAGTTAGAGGCTTAAGACCGTGTCTAATGATCCGGAAAATACGGTATGTAGCAGATAAGCCTAACGCCATGTCAATCACTGTATAATCTTTGCACTGTTTCTCTTGTTCATAGATGTATTTATTTTTGGACTATAAGTCACACTTTTTTTCATGGTTTGTGTGTTTCCTGTGACTTCTATATTAAAATGTTTTTGGTGAAGTGTGGAGAGGTTCTAGTCTTGTGTGTGAGGATCTGCTGCTCCTGTTCCTCCTGCACCACTGTCACTTGGCTCTACTGCGCATGTCTCCTGCAGAAAGAGCCTCTGTTCTGTCTGTATCATGTCAGTCGATCGCACCGTTACTTCTGCACCACTCGACTATTTAACATTTAAACTATAAACTTATAAAGACAAAGACTGAGAAAACTGAACGCAAATGCTCCAAAAAAACAAAATCAGATTCTGCAGATTACAAACTGCAAGTTGTGAAATCTGCAGCTGAAAACAGAAATCGAGCAGCAGAAAGAAAGTTTGGAGTGAGAGAGAAACTTGTGACACCAGGAGGATGCACCATGAAACTTTCCTGAAGTCACTGGATGGATGGACAAAGTCTGGACTTCAGTGACACTGAAACCATCCCAGGGTCTCCAGGTTTGACGACCTCAAATTTAAGACTTTTTAAGACCTTTTTAAGATCACTTCAATGAAACTTAAGACCAACATCGAGCCCATTTACGCAGGTGAAATACTCCAGATCCAATTCTTATAATGACCATTACTCACTGCTTTAAATAACAAAAAATACTTTTATTATAAAATCTCATTCAGAACTCATTTATAGTCGTAATTCTAACAAGACAAACTAAACTTTCACATTGTTTTGTTTCACATTGACTTTCAAAATGCTTCAACCAGAAAAAGAGAAAGAAAAAGAGAAAGAGAAAGAAAGAGAAAGAGAAAGAGGGAGGTGTAGAGCCTGACCTGGTGGAGTGACACAGAGATCACACTGAAGTCCAGTTCAGTTTACAACAAATAGGCTCATGAAATTTAACACTTTTGTGAAAAAAATTTGACTTGGAACAACATAATTTAAGACTTTTTAAGGCCTTAATTAAGGAACATGAAATTTAAGAGCTTTTTAAGACTTTAAAGACCCCCCTGTTTTCACATTTCGGGCTAATTCCCCAGGTCTAAACTAGATCTAAACCAGGTCTAAACCAGGACTAAACCAGGTCTAAACTAGATCTAAACCAGGTCTAAACCAGGACTAAACCAGGTCTAAACTAGATCTAAACCAGGTCTAAACCAGGACTAAACCAGGTCTAAAACCAGGTCTAAACTAGATCTAAACCAGGTCTAAACCAGGACTAAACCAGGTCTAAACCAGGTCTAAACTAGATCTAAACCAGGTCTAAACCAGGACTAAACCAGGTCTAAACTAGATCTAAACCAGGTCTAAACCAGGTCTAAACCAGGACTAAACTAGATCTAAACCAAGATCTAAACCAGTCTAAACCAGGTCTAAACCAGGACTAAACCAGGACTAAACCAGGTCTAAACTAGATCTAAACCAGGTCTAAACCAGGTCTAAACCAGGACTAAACCAGGACTAAACCAGGTCTAAACTAGATCTAAACCAGGTCTAAACCAGGACTAAACCAGGTCTAAACTAGATCTAAACCAGATCTAAACCAGGTCTAAACCAGGACTAAACCAGGACTAAACCAGGACTAAACCAGGACTAAACCAGGTCTAAACTAGATCTAAACCAGGTCTAAACCAGGACTAAACCAGGACTAAACTAGATCTAAACCAGATCTAAACTAAGACTAAACCAGGTCTAAAACCAGGTCTAAACTAGATCTAAACCAGGTCTAAACTAGATCTAAACCAGGTCTAAACCAGGACTAAATCCTGCTGTGTGGATGTGTTTCTTTGTCTTGTATCAATAATATTTTTAATTTGGTTCAGTAAAGTCTGGGCTTTTTATTTTCTTTTATCAGATAAAGCTTCTTATGTTCAGATTTCCTCGTCTTTGTTTCTCTACAGCAAATCAAGTAATCCAAAGTAATCAGATTACATTACTCACTTTAAGTAATTTAATGGATTACGTTACAAACTACATTCTGGGATATGTAATCTGTAATCTGTAGGGGATTACATTTTAAAAGTCACCTTCCCAACAGTGCACATTTTTTCTGGCTGGTGCGACTCACTCATTTGACATTAGTCCCTTTCTCTTTAATTGCACCTTTAAATTGAAAATAGCCGAACCTCCTCCTCCTCCACCGTCTGTACCTGGGTTTTCAGCTCCGGGGGTCCAGCCGGTGGTCCAGCCCAGAGAGAGCACAGTGTGGTCAGGCAGGGCCCCCACGGCGGACAGGAAGCTCTGGGGCTGTAAAGGGGAGGCCACACCCCCGGGGCCGGGCAGCACGTCGGCGTTCACCCACACGGGACGACGAGACGAGGGGCCCCAGATCTGCTCCAGCAACCGCACGGAGGGCCCCACCGCATCCAGACTGAGGGGCACGCAAGAAGAGATTTAAAAGCGCATTGTGTACCTTTTTCTGGTGGAGCGTCCGTCGCCTGTTTGTTTCTATGGATACGTCATTGCTCTGCTTAGAATCTTCCACAGTGTGACATTAAACAGCTCTATTTTACATTTATTCCATTACAAGTGCTTTTATCGCTCAAAAATATCTAGAAAAACAGAAATTCGTGTGAGTGGGGTCGCCTCTCCACAGATCTGACCTGTAACTTGGTCTGGTTTGGTCTTCATGAAGATAAAAATTTATTAATTTAATGTCATACTGTAAAATTCCAGACAAAGCGGTAACATCTCCATGGAGAAAAGCATTTGATGGAGCCTCCACCAGAAAAGTTACACAGTGCACCTTTAAAATAGCAATGATATTGTATAATACAGTATTTAGTAAACATAAAGCTCTATTCACACGGGATTAGTTTGACCTGTGGACCTGTGGTGATTTGTAATAACTGTGGAGGATTCCTGAGATCTGAATCCCGTCCGAATGCTCCGTGTCTGTAATTTGTAAAGTAAACATTTTGGTGGAAATTACCAACTATATTTCGCCAAACACAGACGTCCGGTGATAATACGAGTCCCGTGTGAATCTGCATCTCAGTGTTTGTTGTTGTAATTGCACCTTTTCTATCTCTTTCTTTTCTTTTTGTCAATCTCAGTGAATGTCAGTAAAATAAAGTAACTTTGCTTATCCCGTGCAAATGCGCTGTAAGTTGATGTGTATTTGTTTAGCACTGTTGGGGCTGGACAATATTGTTAAAATAAAAACAAAACAAAATCTGATCATCTAGGTCACAAAGTTCATTTCTTCTCAAAGGCAACAACTGATTTAAAATGTTCTAAAGTAGCACAGACACATTGTAAGTAATTGTTTTGTAGCTCAAAAATACCTAGAAAAACAGACATTCTGACTGTGAGCGGGGTCGCCTCTCCGCAGATCTGACCTGTAACTTGGTTCGGTTTGGTCTCCGTGAAGATAGAAAAGTTTAATGCCATACTGTGAAACATTCCAGGCAAAGCGATAACATCTCCATGGAGAGAAACATTTGACAGACGCTCCACCAGAAAAGTTACACAGTGCACCTTTATGGTCAAAATGTCAACAACTGCAACTGCAACTTTATTTATAACGCACTTTAAAAACAACACGGGTCGACCAAAGTGCTACGAAACAGAATTAAATAAAAACAATAAAACAACATAAGAATAAAAACAGAACCTAACAAAAACAGTCTAATAAAATGTGAACAATGTGTGCTATTTGTGCTTTGCTGTGAACCGGGAAAGACTGGTGGTGCACTGTTTGCATGCTAGTTGTTGTTAGGATGGGTTAAGTAAGTGAGAAATACAACTGAACTGCTGCAATGAGCTACTTCTGTTTTCCCACATTTTTAAGACAGTAAAAACCTTTAAATTAAACATCTCTCCCAAATCACAAAAGATTTTCAGTTTTCTACTGTTGCTATGGTAACAAGCATTGATAAAGTGTTATGTTTTTTTTGACTGGGACACCTGGGACTCTGCGGTAGATAAACCCCGTGACAATCCAGTGTGTAACGAACAGTACCTGACCTCTTAAAGTCCAGTTTGATTCCCTTGTGGTTGGGTTTGAGCTCCTGAAGCCACGCCTCCAGAGTGATGTCACTGTCCGTCTGCGGCGGGTGCGCCATGATCGGCTCTTTGGGGTCCAGAGCTCGCATTAAAATGTCCGCCTCGAGCATCAGAGTTGAATCTGAAGAGACAAGAGGCATTTGTATTTGTATTTAGTTATTAAAAGGAGTATGCAGATTAAAAGACGAGATAATGAAAGAGACAAACATCGACTTGGAAATTTGCAGGATTCTAGACAAAACTCATTTCCATCCTTAGTCCACTTTAGGAATCACTTTATTTATACAGCACATTTCATAAACAAACTGTTTCAAGGGGCTGCACAAACACATAATAACAACAACAATAATAAAATGATAACATAAATGCTCAGATTTAATCATACTAGTCTTAAAACAATAAAACTAGTAAAATAAAAGAAGATAATAGAATAGAACATTTAACAAAATACAATAAGCAAACATAAAAACAAGACACAAAAACATATTAGGTTCTTTTTTCAGATCATGAGTTTGTTTTTATACCTGAAATACCAGGTAAATTAATAAATTATCAGACGACCAAATGAACCTCATTGGACTAAGACACAAAAACATAAAACAATACCTACAACAAACATAAAACATCAAAACTCCTCATTTCCATAACCCATCCCTTCCCCCCAAGACAGACACACATGCGCACACACACACAAATTTAATTAAATAATACAAAAGTAATATGGCAGTGCACCATAACCACACTACTAGCCCCCCTTATATTTTGGACAATTTATAATTTCATTTTCCTTTCTCGCTCTCTCTCTCTTTTTGTTTTTCTGTTGTTGTTTTTTTTTTCATTTTTAAGAAACACTTTAGAACAGACATGTCAAACTCCGGCCCTGCAATATAATTATATTTGGCCCGCGAGATTCATATCAAATATGTATTAGAGCTGCTCGTTGACTACAGATAGACTGTAGAGACATTATTTATTTAAAGTTTTGTTATTATTTTATATTATTCTTGTTCTGGATTCAATGTTTAAGCAAAACTTTTATTAAACATTTATTTGAATTTAAAAAAAAAAAGGTTTAACATTACATATCTCGAAAGAAGAGAAAACATACAGATGCAAATATTTAGTTGGCCCAGGACTTAGTCCCAGTTTTTAGTTTTGGCCTCTGTGAATTTGAGTTTGACTGTGAGGTACTGTGTGCGTCCGGAATGCACTGATTATTGATTTTGTCCTCAACTGAGTTGTCCTCGGTCAGAAGGACAGGCAACTCCACTGATGCAAGGTAGATGTTTATCAAAGATGTTTATTGATGGTTACATGGGGAGCATATGTGTGTATGTATGTGTGTGTGGTTATCTGAAAAACAAACAACAATAATATATACATTAGAGAACAACAAACGATATGAAATGAACAGGAAAATAACTGCTATTATACAGAAAACCACAAGAGGGCGCTCCAACACACTAAATAAATTGCGCACGGAGCCCCTGTAAACCACGGGAGCACCGCACAGTGTAATAGCTACAGCATTAACTCAGTATGAATTTAACAACTAAACATTTCGAATAAACTAACAAACTAAACATGCATTCACACTCAATTACAAAATACTCACCCTGCATGAACGCACACGTTAAATATACACACAAATAATAGGAACAGGGGCTCAAGCCTAGCACGAGGATCTACTGCAACAAGAGCAGAACTATTGGGGCCCGGGCGTACCGGAACTACACACAGATGCATGATGGGTATCGTAGTCCCATGCACATCGGACTTTTAACATTGACTCTCCTGGTTTAGATCACTATACTTAACTAATATTATTTTCACATTCATCATTTAAGTTACATCATCTTTTACTTTTTTACTTTACAGTACTGAATTTTAAACGGTGATGATCACATAATGATTTTCTTGATAATGACTGTAAAGTTGATTTATTCCTTAATCCACATAACATATAACATGTATATGATGTACACGTTTTTAACTTTGGATAGTGACAAAACAGGACTTATGATTCAGTGCTAGTGCAGCCTCTGCAAGAAATTCTGGGGGTTCAGAGTGTTCACATGTTTTATGTAGCTTAAAGTGACCACATGTCCCTATTTACACAGGACAGTCACAGGTTGAAGCCCTGTGTCTCCTGTCCCATCAGATTTATACAAAAATCACTGATTTGTTCCAGTTTTATACAAGAAATGTCCCAGGTATAGAAATATTTTTGACCAATTTGATCCCTGCCGACAGTAAAGAGAGGCATAAATTGTCATTTGTTTTGATAAAATACAGAAAAGCTGCTTAAAAATGACCAAAACACAAAGAAAATTATACTAATATACCAAAAATTATTACCAACCACAACAAACCAATTTTTGATTTATAAATTTGAAAATCCGGTCACCCTAATGCAGTTATATAAAAATCAATATGTTTTTCATCATATTTGAGTGAAGTGAGAAAAGAAAAACCTCATGACAAGTTCTGACTGAATGCAAATGAATGAAAACAGAGATAAAAATGTGATTTAATGACCTTTTAGAGCCTCTGTCAGTTTACTTCTGCTGTTGACGGCATGGGCCCAGGTGATGTCTGCTGCGTCTTCTCTCTGGATCAAACCCAGGCCCAGGAAATAGTGCAGAGTTGAGTCAGACATGTGCTCCTCTGCAGAACCACACACAAACACAAAACACAAACACTGTTAGCATTTATCCAACCAATGAATTCCTAAAACAAAAATTCAAATTCAAAACAGGTAAATGTGTGTTCTGTGACACAGGGGAAGAAGACTTGGAACATCTTTTCTTTTCATGTAGTTTGGTACAACAATTTTGGTTTGATTTTCATTCATTGCTTCGGTCCAGGGGAGTTAAATTTGCCCCCTAACAATAAAAGAAATTAAATTTGGTGTATTAAGAGAAGATAAAAGGAAGGAATTTGGAATTAATAATTTATTACTCTTAGGAAATTTTTTTATTCACAAATGTCGATGTTCTAAATTCTACACAGTTGTTGCCAACAACTTGAACAATGAGTGTAGTGAGTCACAAATGCCTAGCATGAAGTATGCCCAAGCTAAGGCAGATATGCATATCTACAGAAACTAGAAGGCCTAAGCTTTAAAATGGTACATGACACAAGCATGTGAGTTCTAAGGTTTTCTTTTAATAAGCTCTGGCATTTGGGTATGTAGTGCTATTGTGCACACGCCAAAATTAGGTGGATGGGAACAGATTAAGGTAAAACCAAATATAACGTACTTTAGTAATGACCTAAGAATTTTTGTTTATTCATTGAACCTGATTGAAAAAAGAGAAGCTGATTTCTTGTATCTTTTTTAAATTATGTTCCTTTGATTCCAGCTTTAGAATTTGCCCCCGTGGTTCATTCGTGAATGTTTTCTTGTTTACATTTTTCTTCACAACTGCAATTTGTTTGTTTTTTTTCTTATTCGGTTTGGATGTGAATTTTGTATGGTGCCTTTTCGTTTGTATCTGGGAAGTATTAATAAATTTGAAAAAAAAAAAAGCAAACAAAAAAACACAACCACTGTTAGCATCCCGGGCTAATGCGTTAGCTCCGGGCCGGTGCTCGGTGTGTTTACGGCGTCACCTCTGGATCTCCACACCGCGAAAAGAGTCACACACCCGGCGAACACAAACAGCAGACTGCAGAGGAGAATTACTTTTCTTTTCATGCTCTTTCAGTGACAAACGGAGACATTTTGGAGTGTTTTCTTAGAGTTTGTGTATCCGCTGCTGCTGCTCTGTCAGGAGATTAGCGTGTAGCGCCATCTGCTGGTTTGGAAGCGGAACATTCAGTAAAAATCGTAAGACTTAACAACTTTGGTTATTATTATTATTATTTTTATTATTATTATTATTATTATTATTGCTACAGAATTTAAATATTCTTTAGTCACACGAAATGTTTTTGCAAATAAAATAAATAAATAAAAATGCATTTATTTTTATTTTTTTTTGCTACAGAAATTAAATATTCTTTAGCCCCACAAAATGTTTTTGCAAATAAAATAAATTAATAAAATACATAGTTTTTTTTTTTTTTTTTGCTACAGAATTCAAATATTCTTTAGCCCCATAAAATGTTTTTGCAAATAAAATAAATAAATAAAATGTATTTAGTTTAGTTTTTTTTGTTTTTTTTTTTTTTCTGGTATATTTTGGAAAGTAATATTAAAGTGCATAGGATAGGCTTTCATGTTTGTTTGTTTTTTATTATTCGTAACTGTGGTAAATATATCTGTGAATATAAATGAAAAAAATAAAATAACAATAGAGGAATGGAGCTTGTAGTGTTTATTTGTCAAAGAAAAATATCAAACAAAAGCAGTGAACAAACTCTGAACTAAACATAACTCAAATAATAAATAATCACTTTTGGGCACTGTAGGTTTGTGGTTTACACAGTGACAAAAAAACAAAACAAATCAATATCCATGGCCAAAGCTGTATTTCCAAGATTTATTTCCAGTTTTAGGCAAACAGTAAGGATACATGTTTAAGGCCTTCTCCTGTCGACTGGTAAAAACCATAGGCCCACTCAGGTCACTCTGGTCTACATGTACCAGCCTCCTTTATCCTCTAGGTCAGACATGTCAAACTCAGGCCCAGGGGCCAAATTTGGCCGTGATATGATTATATTTGGCCTGTGAGATATCAAATGTATCAAATATCAAATGTATTAGAGCTGCCCACTGGATACAGATTAAATGTTGTTATTATTTTATATTCTCCTTATTCTGTCTCAAACTATTATTAAACATTTATTTGAATAAGAAAAGGTTTAACATTACATATCTTGAAAAAGAGAAAACATGCAGATGTTGATGACATTTTTACATAAATATTTAATTTGACCCACGACTTAGTCCCAGTTTTTACTTTTGGCCTCTGTGAATTTGAGTTTGACTTTCCTGCTCTAGGTGACCCAGATTAAACCAGAAAAAGAGTCTCCTGTGCAGATAAGAGCCAGCTGAGCACACACAGCAACATCACGTAACACTGAGAAGTAGAACAGTGTAGCTGAAAATTCTAGGAATAAAATCAGATGTCTGCATATTATAACCTACTTTATTCACTGCCAGACAGTGTCAAGTGTGACAGTTTCACATCACACAAGGAGAAATAGTGAGCTTTACACACATGTTCTGTTCACATCAGTAAATTCTAAGTGACACAGTGAAATAATGAAAAACATGATCACAATGGGATAATCAGAGCTCTGGGATATTACAATAATTATTTTGAATCACATTATTTATTAAAGTGCTATACTGCCCTCTCCAGGTGGGTGGAGAGTCTCTGCCTCAAGTGGAGGAGTTCAAGTATCTCGGAGTCTTGTTCTCGAGTGAGGGGAGGACGGAACGTGAGATTGACAGGTGGATCGGTGCAGCTTCGGCAGTGATGCGGTCGCTGTATCAAAGGATAGACACAAAAATGTGAAAAACTAAATCATCTGAAGGACGGGCGCAAGAAACGCAAATATTCAAATCCTTTCATATAGTTACATGAAACTTTTATCACTCGTAAACTTATTCACAGTGGAAAGAGCAGCCACAATACATAGGAGTAAATGTATGTGAGCTGAAGTTTTAAAAAAGTTACTCAGTAAATGTAACTGTAACTATCAGAGTAGAACCTCCTCGGCTGATAGGAGCCTGGAGCCTTTAAAAACACAGAGACAACAGAGACAGACATACAGACCACACGCTCACACTGCAGGTAAGATCGAGTATCAGTTTTATTTTTTGTAATTTTACCCTAAAGTAGTATATTCAGTACCTGAATTTATACATTTACACCAGATATATTTACTGACATTTAATTTAGTAACATTTTTACGTATTTTACTATATAGGTACAGTACTTTATTTTTAAGTATAAAATGAGTTTTTAAGTAAGTCTGAATGACACAGATTTTATGTTGTTAACAAAAAAGTAGTGCATATACTACTATTTATTTATGGTCTATTCTTTTGATACATCTGATTTTGGCATTATTGTTTTGTCTGTTTATTCTTTTATTAGTTTCTGTACTTTATACCAGCAGTTACAAAGTTTACATGTTCACCAAAATTCTAATGATTATCTGATTTCTGGACCTTTATTATTCGTTCTCTTACCAGTTTAAACTGAACACACACAGTTTTGATAAGCCGCCAGTCACAGAAGAACAACCAATAATTATAATTCAGGTTTTTATGTACAGATCTCAGTTTATTTCAATCCTTTACTGTTTGGCTGCTGTATCTCAGGTGTTGCCCCTTTGTCCTGATTCAGTCTGGTGAGCACATTTTCAGATCTCAGTGGTCTCCCTGATCCAACCATGGTACTTGTTGCTCTCTGTGTGAAACACTTTAGCGGTATCCCAATCCATGAGATGGTTTTTAGATGGTCTCGTCCTGGTCTGAGATTGTGAACTTGAAGCTGTTCTTGGTGGGTTTGTCACTTAATGACTCGGTGCATGTTTTGGCTGTTTCTTCTTCACATTCATTCACATTCAGGGGTTTACCAACTTTCTCACACCTGAAATACAGTTTTGAAGAAATTGGACAGCAGATGGCGCTGTCCTTCTATTTGGAGCTTTACCAAGTAGGAATACAGCCTCAAAATCTGTTACAATCAGCTGAGCAGATGCACCACAGTAACATCACGTGACAGTGAGGAAGCAGCAGCTGAAACTGTCAGTAGAAAATAAACTGAGGTCTGTAGAACCTAAAGTCTAATTATATCAGAAGAACTAATGAACCTAATCAGACACTTAAGCAAAGTGAGGACACAACAAGATCTTTGAGTCTCTGCCAGACAGTGTCAGAGGTTTACCTCATTCATTAACATGTCCCCCACCCCGTCTCTGTCTCCCATTCCCTCTTCTCTCTCCTCCTCAGTCATGATGTCCTCCCTGCTCCTCCTCCTCCTGGGGGTGTCCCTGTCCTCTGCGGACTTGAAGGTTTTCAACCTGTATGGTGATAATGTGGCCCCATCAGGGGACCTCAGACCGGACTGCTACATCAAGGTGTTCCTTGACTCCACGTCACTCGGGCAGACCTCAATGATAAAGGACAATAAAAACCCGGTGTGGTCGGACCAGTTCCACTACTTCGATGCCCAGGAGTACCAACAGCTGAGGCTGGAGGTGTGGGACAGGGATCTCAACTTTGATGACGGACTCGGAATCTGCCGCACCGAGATCAGAGTGGGCACATACAAACAGAGCTGCTATATGACCAGGGGTGGACTAGTGCACTACACCTACACACTTTCATAACAAGGCTCAATAAACTAAAATCTGGCATCACAAGACTCGAGTTTGTTTTCTCCTCTGACATGAGCTGGTCTCCTGTTTGAACATATTTCCTTAAATGAACGTGTCATCCTAATGCTAACACTAATTTCAGAGCCTAATAAAAATTTAACAGTACAAACTAAAATGATTTACAGCTACAAATAATTGGGTCATTTTTACAAAAAAATGTGTTATGTTAGACTTAATGTTTTAATAAAAGTTAGCATTAGCAGTGAGCCACAAACACATGCAGAAGTTCAAGATTCAAACTTTTATTGTTATTGTCACAGAAGAACAACTAAATTACGTTTAGAGCATCAAACACTGCAGAGTTTGGGTGTAAAGTTCAATATGAAAGGTGCAAAACCCCATAAATAATGCCAGTGTAAAGCACAATAAAGGCATCATCATCTCTGGAGATGTTTTTGGGACATTTGTGACCTTTTCACTGCCTGATCTGTCACCATTTATTGATTTAAACACAACTCTGCCTCGGACCCTCAGACATTACACTGGAGTGGACATGGCTACACCGACTGTTCCTCTGACCTGATGTGTGCTGTTTTATGTCGTCAAAAATAGAAATGCGAGAAGAAGCCAGTATCCCCCATAAACCTTCATAATAATGAAAGATTCTCACGAGCTAGAAGTACATACATTACCAGCCATATTCATTTCATTTAGTCTTTATTTCCAGTTTTGGTTGAAGTAAAAAACATGAAATACTTTTGCTAATCAATATCTAGTAATAAAAAGATCAATGAATAGAAATAATCTTGAAAAGATGGTGTGGAAAAAAAGTGGACTCAGTTACCTTGTAAAGCCTCTGTCAGTTTACTTCTGCTTATACATGATAAGAGGTGTGTTTAGGTCAACAGGATCCTGTAACTTTAAAGTGTTTAATTTAATAAACAACAAGTTTGTTGGAGCATAATAATCAGCACAGTTTAACGGGAGTTCAGGGGGGGTCAGATCTGTGCAGTCCTGTTTTTCATAATGTGGGAGTGAGGCGGCTGTGTTTATCAGACTGATAGAGGTGAATAGAAAAGCCAATTTATTTACTTTTTTAACCAAAGTAACAATAATAGTTACTTTAAAAATAATATTACTCAAGTAAAAGTACAAAGCAGTGGTCCAATAAATTACTCAAATAAAAATAAGGAAACTACGGCCAGTAAGAGTAACTGGACGAGTGAGATCTGATTTGTAATTTGAAATAACGTAATTGTAAGGACAAAACATGAAATCATGCACAACATTTGGTATTTTCAAAGGTTAGACACAAAAATTTGAAAAACTAAATCATATTTGAACTAAATAATATGTATTCTTTATCATTATTATTAGTTTGTCTATAAATGAAAATATATATGTTATATGTATATAAAATTACACACACACTCACACACACACATATATAAAAGTAGGAGTAAAAGTAAGTGGCCGTAAGTGTTTTAAAAAGTTACTCAAGTAAATGTAACTGTAACTATCAGAGTAGAACCTCCTCTGCTGATAGGAGCCCGGAGCCTTTAAAAACACAGAGACGACAGAGACAGACGTGACAGACTCCACGTCCACGCCGCAGGTAAGATTTTGTATTTGTTGGTTATTTTTCTGTAATTTTACCTTTAAGTATCTATACGAATATTTTTTGTATATTTCTCAAAATTCAAAAGAACTGTTAGACATAAATGTGATTTTTATTTTTAAATATTTTGTGGTATGGGTTTTGTGGGATGATACATTTACTGACATTTAATTTAGTAACATTTTCACATATTTTACTAAATAGGCCAACTTTATTTTTAAGTATGAAATGAGTTTTTAAGTCTAAATGACACAAGCTTTATGTTGTTGACAAATAAGTAGTCTATATACTACTACTACTTATTTTCCAGTATTTATGGTTTACTCTTTAGATACATCTGATTTTGGCATTATTGTTCTGTCTGTTTATTCGTTTATTAGTTTCTGTACTTTTTACCAACAGTGGCAAAGTTTACATGTTCACCAAAATTCAAATTATTATCTGATTTCTGGACCTTTAAGATGATTCAACTTGACAGTGAAACTGCACTATTCGTTCTCTCGCCAGTGTAACCTGAACACACACGGTGGTGATAAGCTGACAGTCACAGCAGAACCATCAGGTGTTGTACATTAAGTTCTTACAGTATGTACAGATCTCCGTTTACTTCAACCCTTTACCATTTGGCTGCCCTCTAGCTTATTCCAGGTGTGAGAGAGTTGGTATGCCCCCTCGCCCCGATTCACAGTCTGGTGAGCACGTTTTCAGATCTCAGTGGTCTCCCTGATGCAACAGTGGTACTTGTTTCTCTGTGTGTGAAACGCTTTAGTGCAGGGGTCTCCAACCTTTTTACTCCGGTGAGCTACCGTTACAAAACAAAAACGCGAGAGAGCTACTCATTTTACCGGCCGCAAGAAATTGAGACGATTATAAATAAGAGGGTTAGGCTTACAGTACAGTTAGATGCCTATAAAATATAAACCATTGTTAATTTATTAGTGCACAAAGTTGCGCTTCAAAATTATACATGCACAATGGTACTAAGTATGTAATCAACCAAATTTCTGCTATTCAGAACAATGGTACAATTCCGAAACCCCTTGGCGAGCTACTTGGAAGGAGGTGGAGAGCCACTGGTAGCTCCCGAGCTACAGGTTGGAGACCCCTGCTTTAGTGGCATCCCAATCCTCTCGTCCTGGTCTGAGATTGTGAACTTGAAGCTGTTCTTGGTGGGTTTGTCACTTAACGGCTCGGTGCATGTTTTGGCTGTTTCTTCTTCACATTCATTCACATTCAGGGGTTTACCAACTTTCTCACACCTGAAATACAGTTTTGAAGACGTCATCAGTGTTGGGAAGGTGACTTTTAAAATGTAATCCCCTACAGATTACAGATTACACACCCCAAAATGTAGTTTGTAACATAATCCATTAAATTACTTAAAGTGAGTAATGTAATCTGATTACTTTGGATTACTTGATTTGCTGTAGAGAAACAAAGACGAGGAAATCTTCACATAAGAAGTTTTGTCTGATAAAAAAAAATAAAAAGTCCAGATTTTACTGAACCAAATTAAAAATATTATTGATAGAAGAGGAGGAAACACGTCCACACAGCACGGTCCTGGTTTGGACTTGGTTTATTCCTGGTTTAGTCCTGGTTTAGACCTGGTTTAGACCTGGTTTTAGAGTTTACCTGGTTTAGTCCAGACCTGGTTTAGACCTGGTTTAGACCTGGTTTAGACCTGGTTTTAGTTTAGACCTGGTTTACCTGGTTTGACCTGGTTTAGACCTGGTTTAGACCTGGTTTAGTTTAGACCTGGTTTAGACCTGGTTTAGACCTGGTTTAGACCTGGTTTAGACCTGGTTTAGACCTGGTTTAGACCTGGTTTAGACCTGGTTTAGACCTGGACCTGGTTTAGACCTGGTTTAGACCTGGTTTAGACCTGGTTTAGTCCTGGTTTTGACCTGGTTTAGACCTGGTTTAGTCCTGGTTTAGATCTGGTTTAGACCTGGTTTTGACCTGGTTTAGTCCAGGTTTAGACCTGGTTTAGATCTGGTTTAGACCTGGTTTAGTCCAGGTTTAGACCTGATTTAGAGCTGGTTTAGTCCAGGTTTAGTCCTGGTTTAGATCTGGTTTAGACCTGATTTAGAGCTGGTTTAGTCCAGGTTTAGTCCTGGTTTAGATCTGGTTTAGATCTGGTTTAGACCTGGTTTAGTCCAGGTTTAGCCCAAAATGTAAAAACAGGTGAATACCACCATGTAATCCATTTATTTCAACAAAGTAACTGTAATCCAATTACCACTCACTGAAACAGTAACTGTAACTGAATACAGTTACTCATCATTTGTACTCTGATTACATTACTCCAGTACATGTAATCTGTTACTCCCCAACACTGTACGTCAGACAGCAGATGGCGCTGTCCTTTTACTTGTTTCTGCTCCAAGTAGAAGAACAGAGTCAAATCTGTAAAAATCAGCTGAGCAGATGCACCACAGAAACATCAGGTGACAGTGAAACAGCAGCTGAAACTGAAAAGGTATAAAATAAACAGAGGTGTGTAGATAATAAACCCTTTGATTCACTGCCAGACAGTATCAGTGTGTCAGAGATAGTGAGATTTACACACATGTTCTGTTCACACCAGCAGCTTCTGAAGGATACACTAAAACAATGAAAAACATGATGCACACTGCAGGTCAAACGTTTTACAGCATCCTAATTTTTACAGTTATTTATTGTAATTCAAGTCGTGTAAGTCCAATGAAGAGCTTGAAATGGAACAAAGGTAAAAACTGAACAGACAGAAGTTAAAAAAAAAGATAAAAGAACAAAAGACAAGTCCAAGCTCTGCCAAAACTCTGCAAAAAAGAACAAGATGGTAAAACTTGAAAACCTGAAGTGTCCAGCAGCAGCAGCAGCAGCAGCACAGAGTCCAGACTTAAACCCCATCGAGCTGAAGACTGAAGAGTGAAGCTACACATTTACGGAAACTTCTGCAACAGACTTGGGAAGAACTTTCTGAACAATATTTGATTTCTGTTTCTAAAAAGTTCGAGCCACAAGTGTGTTCAGTTGTTCCATCTGCCAAAGGTCGACACACACATCAATCAGAAGTTTAGAATATGTTTGGTCAACAGCAAAAAATTGGAAAAAGTGTGGTGTTCTAAAACTTTTGACCTACTATAAGTATTTTGAATCAAATTATTTTAGCCAGGACACCCCAGAACATGATCATATTACTGGAAATGTGGTATAGCCAACATTTTCTGGGTGATGACCCCCAGTCCCCTCACTTCTCTAATAGAAAGACAACTTCAAGAAAAATAATGAACTGTTTGTAAAAAGCCTCCTGACTCAAACAGTCTGAATCCGTGTGACATTCGTTCATTAGTTTTTCAATATAAAACCAAAAATAAGAAAATGAAAAAGCAACAGTTTTCTTCATTATTTGTCTCCAAAACCAAAATGAAAAAACTGATAATGATTCGTTTTTTTCAGTTTTTCGATTTTGTGTTTAAATGAAAAATGGAAAAAACAGATAACAGCCTGTTTACATGACGTCTGTGACTGTGATGTTGGACTTTTCCACCGCATACAGACTGAACCAGGACTGATCCAGGTCCAGGACCAGACCGGGGACTCCGAGCCTCCGCGGGGTCCGAGCCTCAGCTTCAAGCTCCGGCCCTGCCGTGGGCTCTGAGCCTCCGGTCTGGTCCCGGCCTGGTCCCAGTCTGGTCTGGTCCTGGTCCCGGTCCGGTGTCCCGGCCTGGTCCCGGCCTGGTCCCGGCTGGTCTCGGTCTCAATCCTGGTCTGGTCCCGGCCTGGTCTCGGTCTCAGTCCTGGTCAGGTCCTGGTCTGGTCCCCGGCCTGGTCCCAGTCTTGGTCTGGTCCTGGTCTGGTCTGGTCCCTGCCTGGTCCCGGTCTCATGGTCCCTCTGGTCGGTCTCAATCCTGGTCTGGTCCCGGTCTGGTCTGGTCTCAGGCCCGGTCCTGGTCTGGTCTGGTCCCGGTCTCAGTCCTGATCTGGTTCTGCTCTGGTCCCGGACCTGGCTCAGTCCTGGTTCAGTCCGTGTGCAGTACAAAAGTCCGACATCACAGTCACATGTCACATTATCCGTTTTTTTTCCATTTTTCATTTAAACACAAAATCGAAAAATGAAAAAAACGAATCATTATCTGGTTTTTTTCATTTTGGTTTTGAAGACAAATCATTTTTCGTTTTCTTATTTTTGATTTTATGTTGAAAAACGAATGAATGAATGACACACAGTTTGGTCTGACATCAGCCTGTGCCTCGTGTATCTTCATTAACCTTTCCCTCTCTCTCCTCCTCAGTCATGATCTCCTCTTCCTCCCTGCTCCTCCTCCTCCTGGGGGCGTCCCTGTCCTCGGCGCAGTTGAAGGTCTACAGCCTGCGCGCCACCGACCTGCCCTCAAACCTGGTGTCCACCACGGACGGCTACGTCAAGGTGTACGTCGGCTCCAAGTCCATCGGCCAGACCACGGTGAGGAACGACGACACCGACCCGTGGTGGGGGGAGGAGTTCGCCTACCTCGACGCCAAAGAGAACGACGAGCTGAAGCTGGAGGTGTACGACAGGGACCTGATGTTCGACGACCTGCTGGGAACGTGCAAGCGCCAGATCAGAGTGGGCACCTACCAACACGACTGTTTCCTGTCGAAGGGCGGAACGCTGCACTACTCCTACACACTCGGTTAAACAGGCTCAATAAACGACCGTCTGGCAAAAGAAGACTCGTGTTTTTTTCTCTCCTCTGACATGAGCTGGTCTCTTGTTTGAACATGTTACCTAAACTTATACTCAATGTACTCAAAAATCACAGGTCAGTGTTTTTAGAAAAAATACACAAATGCTACTTTCAGAACCTAACAAATATTTAAGCACGGCACAAAATGAAATGACTGACAGCTACAAATAATTGGGTCATTTTTACTGAAAACATATGTTAGATGTTACGTTAGATTTAATATTTTAACCTTCCTCTTGTGTTAGGGTCGTCACCAACCCGTTTTACGTTTAACCCTCTCAGGCTCAAATACATTTTTAGTATCAGGAAAAATCTGATATTTGGGGAAAATGATCATATGGGGTATTAATATACAATCCTGACTTTTGTTTGAGAGACACTTTCACATCCAGTGTGTCTGGGATGTTGCAGATTTGCAGCGTTGGTCTGGTTTGGTAAATTAACACTGAAGATTGAAAATGATATGAACACTAACCTTTTATAACAATGAAAACATAAAGCTCAGTGTAACAGTTTTACAGTGGCAGAACAGCAGCACTTTTTCATGTGTTTCTCCAACAAATAATTTTTTATCCTTTGTAAACAACAAAAGTATTTTGCACTTCTGACAGGTCGTTTGTGTGAGTCGTTCTTACACAGTCTGCATCGTCCATGTTTATCAGCATGGATGGGAAATAAGGCTCCTGAGTAAAAAAAGCTCATAAAATATGGATGTGGAGTAAGTAGGTAATTGGCATTTAGCTGTTGCAAATCTGCAACGTCTGCCTGGAGAGGGTTAAAATGTATAAAAGAACCACATAGGGTTAGTTTATTGCATCAAGTCTTTTTTTTAACTTTGTCAGGAATCTCTATTTTAACAAAATAATCAAGAACACCTCTGGTTAAAAATGCACGCTTTATGGTGTTAGGGTCGTTTTCGACCCGGTTATAAAAATTTGATTAAAAAGCAATGATTATAACCAAAACTGAAATCATAAACACACTGTCAGCCAAAACAGTGACAACCAGCTCCTCTCCCAGTCATCTGAGCTTTGGGGGAATCTCATTTTGTCAATCAACAGTGTTGGGGAGTAACAGATTACATGTACCGGAGTTATGTAATCAGAGTACAAATGATGAGTAACTGTATTCAGTTACAGTTACTGTTTCAATGAGTGGTAATTGGATTACAGTTACTTTGTTGAAATAAATGGATTACATGGTGGTATTTTCCTGTTTTTACATTTTGGGCTATATCCATTTTTTTTTTTTTTTTTTTTCATAATTCCACTCATTTCCGGACACTAAACCAGGTCTAAACCAGGACTAAAACAGGACTAAAACAGGACTAAACCAGGACTAAAACAGGACTAAAACCAGGACTAAAACAGGTCTAAACCAGGACTAAACCAGGTCTAAACCAGGACTAAAACAGGACTAAAACAGGACTAAACCAGGTCTAAACCAGGACTAAAACAGGACTAAACCAGGACTAAAAACAGGACTAAACCAGGACTAAAAACAGGACTAAACCAGGACTAAACCAGGACTAAAACAGGACTAAACAGGACTAAAACAGGACTAAAACAGGACTAAACCAGGTCTAAACCAGGACTAAAACAGGACTAAACCAGGACTAAAACAGGTCTAAACCAGGACTAAACCAGGACTAAACCAGGTCTAAACCAGGACTAAACCAGGACTAAAACAGGATTTAACAGGACTAAACCAGGACTAAACCAGAACTAAACCAGGACTAAAACAGGATTTAACAGGACTAAACCAGGACTAAACCAGGACTAAACCAGGTCTAAACCAGGACTAAACCAGGACTAAACCAGGACTAAAACAGGACTAAACCAGGTCTAAACCAGGACTAAACCAGGACTAAAACAGGACTAAACCAGGACTAAACCAGGACTAAACCAGGACTAAAACAGGACTAAACCAGGTCTAAACCAGGACTAAACCAGGTCTAAAACAGGACTAAACCAGGACTAAAACATCTCAACTCAATGGGCAAAGAGTTCCAGAGTTTTGGAGCGGCCACTGCAAAAGAACAATCAGCCCACTGTTGGCACCGGGACCGGGGGAACCTCCAGCAGATGTGTCCCAGCAGATCGTAGAGCTCCGCTGGTGGGGGGTCAAAATCTCACACAAGTATGAAGGTGCAAGACCACTGACTGCATTAAAAACTAGAAAAGCAGTCAGAGAGCGCAGACCTCCGCCAAGGACTACAGTCCCCCTCATATTAATTGTGTTTTCCATAAATATTTGTCTCGTATCTTTCAATTTGGAATATGAAAGAGGATCCCATTGTCCATCCCTGAGTCAAATTTCATGGGGTTTGGTCAATAATTAACAGAGATATTGAGAAACAAAATTTTTTGGCCCCATTTACCACAATGTTAACTAAAATTTCAAAGTGATCCAGAATCCAGGATTTCTTCCGGATCACCCCCAAAATGAAATCAGTTCTTCCTTTTCACATTTCCAACAAATCCTGAAAATTTCATCAAAATCGGTCCATAACTTTTTGAGTTATGTTGCTAACAAACAAACAAACAAACAGACAAACAAACAAACAGACAAACAAACAAACAGACAAACAAACAAACAGACAGACAAACAGACAAACAAACAAACAAACAAACAGAACAAACAAACAAACAAACAAACAAACAAACAGACAAACAGACAAACAAACAAACAAACAGACAAACAAACAAACAAACAAACAGACAACAACAACAAACAAACAACAAACAGAAACAACAAACAAACAGAACAAACAAACAAACAGACAAACAAACAAACAAACAAAAACAAACAAACAAACAAACAAACAAACAGACAAACAAACAAACAAACAAACAAACAAACAGACAAACAAACAAACAAACAAACAAACAAACAAACAGACAAAACAAACAAACAAACAAACAAACAAACAAACAGACAGAAACAAACAAACAACAAACAGACAAACAACAACAACAAACAAACAAACAGACAAACAAACAAACAAACAGACAAACAAACAAACAGACAAACAAACAAACAAACAACAGACAAACAAACAAACAAACAGACAAACAAACAAACAAACAACAAACAAACAGACAAACAAACAAACAAACAAACAGACAAACAAACAAACAGACAAACGCCGGCAAAAACATAACCTCCTTGGCGGAGGTAATTAACATCAAACATGTTGTCTTGTTTTCCTGTATGTCTGCACACTAGAGATGTGTGGATGGGCGACTTTTTCATCGCAAAACTCATCATCCGCCCACCGTCCGCTCGTCTCCTCCCATTTGCTCCGAGTTTTTTTTATTTGAGGAGTGAATCCGCCACCCGCCCCAAATTTTATTTAAAATATAATTTTTCGTCACGTCATCCGCCCGACCCGCGGATTAACGGCGGATACAACACACACACACAGACACACACACACACACACACACACACACACAGACACACACACACACACACACACACACACACGTACACGCACACACACACATATACACACACACAAACACACACACACACAGACACACACACATATACACACACACAAACACACACACGCAGTTTCAGTTGAAGAGAAACTGCGTCAGGCACATACTTCACTGTTTCATTGTCTGTTTTTACTCATAAGTTGCTTCTCAACCAGGACTAAACCAGGATTTAACCCGGACTAAGCCTGGACTAGACCAGGACTAGACCAGGACTAAGCCCCAGGTAAAGTTGAGGGAGCAGAGGAGGACGTCCTGAGTCCTCATCTTCATTTCAGTTCCTCTTGTTCTAATGGATAAATTGTCGTTTTATTTATCTGTCCACAGTTTTACCCAAACTGTTTTTTTTTAATCCTGTTTTAATCCTGTTTAAATCCTGTTTTAATCCTGTTTAAATCCTGTGTTTAAATCCTGTTTAAATCCTGTTTTAATCCTGTTTAAATCCTGTTTTAAATCCTGTCCTGTTTAAATCCTGTCCTGTTTAAATCCTGTTTAAATCCTGTCCTGTTTAAATCCTGTTTTAATCCTGTTTAAAAATCCTGTTTAAAATCCTGTTTAAAAATCCTGTTTAAATCCTGTTTAAAATCCTGTTTAAATCCTGTTTTAATCCTGTTTAAATCCTGTTTTAGTCCTGTTTAAATCCTGTTTAAATCCTGTTTTAGTCCTGTTTAAATCCTGTTTTAGTCCTGTTTAAATCCTGTTTTAA